TGTCTCTGTCCCCTACAATCAGCAAAGCCACAGTCCAACAGAAATGCCTCTGGCATGGGTTGGGCTGGTATGCAGGACAGCTGCAGCACTGCCCAACCCCAGGCCTGAGTAAGGCATGCAATAGTGAACAAAAATATTTCCATGTATTATAGTGGTGAAACTTTCCTTTCTTCTGATGTCTTCCATAAAATAATTTGCCAGATACTGTCTGGGATTTTAAGTACTGACAGCCACGCAGAACTATCTAGCAGGTGAATGGTAGGAATGAGTGTTAATGAGCTTGCTCTCAAAATCAGTATAAGGATTGTTAAAAAAAAAAGTAACTGACTTTGAGAGTCATTATAAATATCTATTATTGCTGCAAGAGAGAACTGGGTTTAAGCTTGTTAAATTTTACATATCCTAGGGTGGTTCTCATTCTTTTATGATAACAACTGTTTACTTGTTTCATCTGACAACTAGTACCAAAAGTTGCATCTGGACTGGGGCAATCACAAACACAAATACAGGCTGGGTGGAGTATGGCTTGAGAGCAACCCTGAGGAGAAGGATTTGGAGGTGTTGGTTGATGAAAGACTCAACATGAGCCAGCAGCGTGATCTTGCATTCCAGAAGGCCAACAGTATCCTGGGTTGGATGAAGAGAAATGTGACCAGCGGGTCAAGGGAGGTGATTCTGCCCCTCTACTCTGCTCTTGTGAGACCCCACCCCGTTCTGAGGCCTTCAACACAAGAAGGACATTGAGCTTTTGCAGCGGGTCCAGAGGATGACCATGAAGGTGATCAGAAGGCTGGAGCACCTCCTGTACAAGGACAGGTTGAGAAAGCTGGGGCTCTTGAGCCTGGAGAAGGGAAGTTACAGGACGTTACAGTGGCCTTCCACTACCTGAAGCTACAGGAAAACTGGGGAGGGACTTTTTATAAGGGCATGTAGTAACAGAACGAGGAGAAATGGCTTTAAAGTGGAAGAGGGGAGATTTAAACTAGATATCAGAAAGAAATTCTTTACTGTGAGGGTGGTGAGACACTGGAACAGGTTGCCCTGACAGGATGTGGATGCCCCCTCCCTGGAAGCATTCAAGGCCAGGCTGGATGGGGCTTTGAGCAAACTGGTCTAATGGGAGATGTCCCTGCCGATAGCAGGGGGTTGGAACTAGATGATCTTAAATGTCCCTTCCAAACCAAACCATTCTATGATTATGATTCATATATTTTGCAGAAGTTATCCATATCTTTTTGTGTGAATAGTGTTACAAATGTCATTGTCATCAGATGTTGGTAATAGGACAATTTAAAATGATCAGACAAATTCACCACGTTTACACTCTGTGCAACTGGCATTTGTCTGCCAGAATGCATCTGCCTGTTTCCCACTCTTGTTACCACGTTTTTGCCCCTGTGGGTGATACTGACAGTAGTAGGACAATTGTAGGCTGGGCTTCCTCAAAGAAGTCCTTTGAAGCAACTGGGAAAAAGTGACTCCTAATGCCTTGTCTGTGGAAACTCTTTTCCTATTACTGCCACCCATGAAGCCTGAAATGTCCTCTTGGGGCATAATTTCTTACAGCAAAATACAGAGTTAGCTAAGCATGGAAGATTTTGAGACTAGCAGGAGTGATGGTCAATTACCGCGTTACAATAAATGTTGTATTCCAACATGCCAATACGTACTATGGAACACATAGTTCCTACAAAAAAAAAAAAAAAAAAAAAAAAAAAACAGTGGAAATCAATTGTGGACTGAACTGCCTGTGCTTTTGCAATTATGGTTTGCAGGAGTCCAGCTGAGTGGTAAACAGTTTATCCCTTTTCCCATAACAGGCTTAGTGCCACGCTAAATTCTAGCACTGCAGGGAAGGGGATAGATCTTCAGATTTACCAGAATTCCTTCTGCCCTTCCTGTAATTTGCCATTTTCACTTCGGGCCTAATAGTAGGAATAAAAAGTTCTATGGAAATGGCCTTTGTTGTGTGTGTGAGACAGGGACCCTTACCCCCACCATTCTCTCCTGCTTCTTCAAAATCCTAAGTTATGACCCAACCTGTCCTACCCTGGGTATAAAAAAGCCTGGGAAACACTGTCTGGTGTTGAATTTCAGTGAGATCTACTTCAGAGATGAATGAATGCCAATGAATGTGAAAAGTACTCTTGCCAGGAAACAGCTTTCTGTTTCCAGGTTTTCATTTACATTTTTCAGGGGCAATATGCATAAATGCTATTGCCTTTCACTAGGCAACTTGCTGCCAAGCCAGTAGTTACAGGAAAACTTCAGTTAAAACTTACGTTTTTCTTAAATTCTTTTAAATGGGGTGAAGGACTGGAACACAAGGCAAAGCAGCTCCCTATTGATGATGATAACGATAAACCATTATGGCTGATGAGCTCAGTGTGGAACTGGTGCTAAAGGACCTGGCTGCTCATCAGACTGAAGGTGCAAGGCATTAAAGGGGATTAAACCAGCACAGTCTCTGCCAGCCTAATCCACTTGGCACCGATGAGCTGTAGGGAGGCCTGGATGCTTTGTGCTTATGGCATTTATAAGGAGGCTTAAAAGAAAAGAACTAGCCAGTTTTGTTGCTATGGAGGCTTTTGTGGTAATTGACTTTTGTGATCCCTTCCATTCCTTTTCTCTTTTTTGTCACCGTTGATTAGAAACTGTGCTCCACTTCAGTTTAATGGCCACAAAACATAGGAAGCTTTTATTCCATAGTGAAGAAGCAGAGGAGCTTGTGAAGATGCTGAGTACGGTCAGAGGGCTGCTTGCAGCACTGCCTTCATTCCAATTCTGATTCTGTTAAGGCAGGTCCAGATTGTGCAGGCAAAGGAAATCAAGACTGGAGCCCTGTACACTTTTTCAGTATCCAGAAAGCAGCACATTATGAACTCAAAAAAAAGTTGCAGTGGTGGTATGCATCCTACAAGGAGGGAGCAGCAAGAGGGGAATGTGTCTTCCACAATTAATTTGTTCCTGATGGAGATGACTTCTGTTCTGAATGTTCGGACGGCTCCTGATCCCAGTCATATGTCTCATGCTGGAGCCAAAAATGAAAGTCTGCCTGTGTTTAAAAGGAAAAACAAAACATTATTCTGTATAATCTATGCATAGAGGCAGAATGCTCTCAGAAAAGGCCTGAGGAAGAGCCAAATTTCAGGTCTGCTTACTTACCTGGGGAAGAACCTGCGCACCACTGACAATTAAAGAAGTGCAGAGAATTTACAATGAAGTCATCTGTTAGGATACATCCAGCAGTGTTTCAGAGAGAAACATAAAAGCATCTTTTATTCTACAATCAGCAGAAAAATATATAATGTTCTATCTGTTGAATAGTAACTGTAAACAAACTGATATATTTTTTTTAATACCTAATATTTGGTTACTGATTTCTTCACTACAAAATCTTAAAGGGTTCATACTTTTAAATACTTCCAGCAAATACAAAGTGTGTGTTGTTCACTTAACTATGCTACTACAAAGAACTGAAACTACAGCCTCAGTAGGGACAGGCCTGGAATAACGCATTACTTGCAGAGAGGTAATTTTTAGGGATTAATGTCACAAGAGCACTGAAGATCTTTCCTCTTTTCACTTTTATTTCTGATGTTTTCTGTCTGAACAGAGTTTTCTGATTAAGTTTTTAAAGGGTGTAATACAAAACCAGCACATTACATCTTTCAAAAAATAAATCTGTTAAAATAAAGCACTGGCTATATTTATAGGTTAAACCATAGACAAATTATAAAGAAAATGAAAAGAAGAGAGAGAGAGAGAGAGAAAACTAGAGGTAGTGTTTTTAGAGGCAAATCCAGTTAAAAGGCTTTCATTTTTCTTTGCTTTTGGTGTAACCACTGTGAATGTCAAGATAAGAGATCATTAGACCTACATCAACATGTGGCATAAGGGCTGCTCTTCTGTAGCACATCAAGCATGCAATAACCTGACTGAAATTCCCACAGAGGTTAAACAATAGCCTCCTGTTTGTAGCTGCCTCCGGTTCATTTAGTAGAAAATGTATAACCCAAGTTTTATCAGATTCAGCTATAAAGACGAGGTGCTCAATATTTCCTGTGCAAAGTGGAGTTCTTTGATCCATTATCCCGCTAATTACCAATGGGTTTGACCTCTTCCTGGATTTAACTGTTCTTGTCCTTTTTCTTCTGGCTCCCTGTATTTGCTTAATTAGACACAACTATGAATGCTTGCACAGTTCAAGCCATCCTGAAGCACTTTGGCTTGTTTGTGCAGATCCTTCACCCTCTGAGCGAAGAGTCAGACTCACTCAAGGACAAAATTCAAAGGCTAGTGAAGTGAAGAGGAGAATATAAGTCAAATGACCAGGCCCCAGCATGTAAACAAAACCCAGTATAAGTCCATGGAGTGTGACTGGAGCCAGGCCAATTTGTACCTGCGGGAAATTTGGCCCAAAAGTTTACTTTCTAATTTTCATTCTAGCATCATTTGTGTAATGAAAGTAAGAAAGACAGAATCAGTTCCTGCACCAGCAGCACATCTGCGATGTACTAAGAAAGAAAATGCTTCATCATCTTTGATGGCGGTTCTTTGCAAGATACATATGTGAAACTTTGCTAGCAAAATGATTTTTCAGAATATTTATGGCTACTTTTCAATTTGTTGACTTGTAGACAGCTGATTAGGAAGGGACACTGAAAGCTGTTACAGTCTCTCTCCCAGCCTCAAGGAAAGCACAGCTTTTTCTGTACAATTTCTGACATATATAGAAAAATGTACTCTGACATTTTTCTACCCTACCTTTAAAAACCATGATGGAAACCCCCTTCATCTTTAGCAATATATTTCTGTGCTTTCTTCTGTTACCAGTTAGCTTTTTTCCTCGCTAATGTTTTTGTCTCCATAGCTGCAAAGTAAACCCATTAGCCGTTATCTTCCCACTGGATATGAAAAATGATTTATTCCTTTTTTTTTTTTTTTTTAATATCTTGTAATATGTTTGACAATGGTTATCATGTCTTCTTATGTTCTTCTCTCCCTAGACTAAACAAACTTCTCAAACTCATCTTTGTTTCTATCCTGACCGTGTGGAGGATGAATTTGTAGGACCTCGGTGAGGTTGGGACAGAACAAATCATTTAGGTGAATGTGGAGGCTTTGTCATCAATGGGAAACAGAAAGAGCTGTTCTTCAGTGTTGAATCTGCCTGCTAAAACCTATAGATGATCTGTTCTGGCTACAGACTCATTTTGCTGTGGCTCATGGAGGAGTCACACTGCTTTGTCCTTCTAATCTTCAGGTCCCTGGACAATCTCCAGGGATGTAGGAAGGCAGGATGCCTTGTGGAAAGGCTGTATCAGTTTGCACTCTTAAACAAGGCACAGTAATGGGGAGGAGTACACAAGGAGTGACTTTTTAATGCTCACCAACACTGAAGGACCAGAGGGAGGTAGAATTCATCTGTCTCCATGATGAAGGCATGTATGCTGGTCAGTCCTGCAATCCGAAACTGGAAGGGTTGTGTCGTGTTTCATTTCAGAGGTGGACTGCGAGAAATCCTTCTCCAATTACATTCTGGAAGTGAAAATCTGAGACTTAGCTAATTAGCTAATCTTAACTATTATGGCTAAACCTACATTTTACTGAGTGGGAGGGAGGATCAGAAGATAGGGAGTGGAAGAGGAGAGGAGGAAAAGCAGAATGTCAGATATCTTTTTTTTTTAATTGTTATTTTTTTCCTGGTTATGTCCTAGATCTGCTTAGACACACTGAAAGTGAACATCTCCTTTGAGGATAAGGCACTGGATACGTGTTATAGAACATCTCCCTTCATTAAAGATTACATTATGTTTTTGTTATCAGGCTTTCTTGGGGCTGGGAAAACAAAGTGTATTTAATCTGCTTACAGTTCTGTATGTGAATTTATTCTAGAGAGGAACTTTTCTCCAAGCTTGAGATATATCAAAGGCTGAGGGTTAAAAATTGAGTGTTTGAACATGCTCAAAGTACTCCTCTGGTTTATTGGGTGTACAGTATCTCAAAATGGAAGCATGGAAAAGTTCATATTTGGCCTCAGTCAGAATTTGTAGTGATTCTTTTTCCTGTGATTAAGGTACAGAGATTATTTCAAATGTGTTATTCAGTTTATTCTTATTTTAGGGAATCCTGTTTTGTCACAGCATGTGCTAGCTATTTCTTTAGAAAATGACACCTTCTTTTGTGAGTTTTCCAAAGTGTGTAACATTTGCTGGATAACAAAATTATGTGTAAAAATTCACTGTGTGTCTGACAGACATGTTAAGACATGGAATTCAGGGAATGATTCACTTCCAGTAGCAACTTCTAAAATGCACATCTCTTTTCACTGACTGACCCCACAGCTTATAAGACATTCCTTTTTGTCTTGTTCATTTTTTTTTGTAATTTTCACATCAGGAATGGAGTACATGTCATCACCCATGTGTTACCAGCAGACAGTCAAATACCAGGCAAATTCCAAAACGGCAGCATAAAGCCATACAGTGCACATGTAGGCATAGCCTCTGCATTTTCCTGTCTGCAGAAGCCTTCCTGTCCTGGGGAATTTGGCCTATCAGACATTGCCAACCCTCACATTTCAGAGAACGTAGTCTGTGCTTATCAGCAAACTTAATTAAAGTACGCCATGGCTCATGGAACAGCTACAGATGTCTTACTGTGGCTTAGTGGGTCACAGGCACCCAATGAAATTACTGATCCAGGCAGTGCTTTCCTGTGCTAGCCATGAGTTGATGAAAACTAGGTGCCTTTACTTCTCCTGGGGAAAAAATAATTTAAGTAGCTATTTTGCACTTCCAAAGCACAGTTCACTGACGTGAGTCATTAATGCTTCAACTATCTTCAGGAACCAGAGAAATCCTTCTTTTTAATGGATAAAGAAACTAATACTTTGAGTTGAAAGAGAGCGTAACTTGATCCAGGCTACCGAGAGAAACAGTGGCACCACTAAACTGCAGTTAGGGCTTCTTCTGATAGTATATCTTATACCTGATCAGCATGCAGCAGAGATTGCCTTCTGTCTTGGCTCTGTGTTGCTCTTCTTTGCAGGAAACAACCATTGGCATCTATGCTGTGCCCCTTCCCTGCTGGCACTGTGGACAGCCTATGAATAAAAACACCATATTGCAAGTAAAATCAGTGTTATGAAGATGTTAAATCACACTGAACTCCATAGTGGTCAATGAGAAAGACACTGTCTCACTGCAAGACTCATTTTCCATGTCACCTGTCCAGTACACTTGTTTAAATGAAGATCTGACTTCTGAGAACCTAGATAGCTTGCACATTGTGTACCTGTGCTGTTAGCATCAAAACTGTGGGAGGCACATGCATTTTCCTTTCCTTCTATAATGTGATTATGAGATCTGGCATAGTTAGCAGGCAGCCATGCTGTTCTTCATCAGAAGTAATCAGATAATTTTCACCTGGTCATTCAAATAACACGCATACTTCTGGATTAAATTTCTCACTAGCTTTAGTTGAAGACACTTCACATTTCACGTCATTCAAATGGAGGCTGTGCTAATATATTGGAAAAATCTGAATTTCTCATTTCTCAGCAATAAGAATTCCTTTTGAAAATGATGAATAAGAATTTACTGTTACAGAATTTCATAAGGAATGATAACGGTAATTACATTTGGGACCAACATCCCTGACACTACTGCCAGTGTCTCTTCTATTTATCTTTTCATTTACTCTGAACTGTAATTCTCAAAATAGCACATTGCAAAAAGCACTCATCAGCTTCTCTGTTTAGCTGAGAGCATCTGGGCAGCTGCCTCACTTTTTCTTTCCCAGATAACATCTTTGACTCTTCTGTAGAGTTCAGTGTGTGTGCAATGTGAAAACATATCCATGGTATGAGTTGGCATGCAGATGAAGATTTTAAATATAGATCTAGCTATTATTGCCCTACGCAAGTAAATGCCTTGGAATGAACTATATTCAGATACTTCAAAGTGCTGTATTTAGAAAATCTCATTGCTTTATCAAACGTGTAGAAGCAGAAAAATGTGATTGTGTTTGTACGTGCTTGCAGGTCTCTTCTGAGGAAGGAGTGCAATGGGCAGCTGTCATAATGCTACTCTGATAGCTGAGAGTATAGAGTCTAGTCAGTGTTCAGGAGGTAACTTCTTTTACCACTTTTCTCCCCAGAAGATATAATGTGAAATTTTAATACTGAAAAAGCTACTACAAACAATATCCTAATAAAAACAAGACCTGGCTTATTTTTTCCTTCTTACTAGGGAACCTATTTGAAATGCTTGGAAAATATTAACTTTCTAGTTGATATTCTAAAAATAAGATTTGGGAAAGCAAACAAAGGGCAGTTATTCATTTATGTATTTGTTTTCTCCAAGCAAGCAAACAAAATGGAGAAAATGGAACTCAGTTAAGAAAGAGAAGTCAAAACACACAAAAACAGTGAAGAAAAAGAGATGTGAATTTAGTAACTGTGGGAACCTGCTAAGAGAAGTAAAGTGAGGTGAGTGTAAAGAGGTTATCCATGTACATATGAGCATATTTGTAGAACAAAAGGAACTCTAACAGCACTGTTTACGTTTTTGTACTTTTTGGTTTTCTTTCTGAAGTGGAAAGGGTGAAATTATCACTAAGACAGATATGTAGGTTTATGTCATCTGAGTAAAGCAATGCCAGACAAGCTACGTAGAGCTTTCCTTGGTCCCTAGACAACAAAGTATTAAAACCGATAGATTCTATTCATCTACCTATTATGAATTGCATTACTTTATGAATTTTAACATATGAAAAGTGATGTTTCAGCTATATGAATTACTCTACATGATTAATCACCTTATCTACATTTGTAAGATCAAAGTGTTTAATGACAGCACTGAGATTAATGAGATTCTTTTGTAAAAAATGTGAAAAATGAAAAAAGAAACAGCTCAAAATGATTACATACACAGATCAAAACTTTAATGTGAGCTTTATATTTTTTATAATATTTTCAAAATATTTGTCTGTTTTTTCCTCCATGTAGGTGCTTACTCTGTCCAGCAAACAGTTCAGATAGTCAGGCTTTACATTTCTCCAAAATGCAATGGTTTACCATTTCAAATGTTTGCCACCTACTTTTATAACACAGTTCTTAAAGCCAGAACTGGAGAAAAACAGGATATTCCTGAAGAAGATGGAATCTACAGTTAACACAAATAGTTCAAGCAAAATAGAGGCTGCAGAGAAGGAAGGTGTTTTAAATTTCTTTACTGTAATTAGAATCTTCTGTTTCACTCAAGGGCTTGCATGAGTATTCTGTGGGTTTTTTGTTTTTTTTTATTTGTTTGGTTTTTAATTTTGCAGTCAAGTGATTGGACCTTACCAGCTTTGATGGCTAATGACTGAGTATTAGACAGGTAAGAGATAAAGGTGAAAATACAATGCTAAAGTTCACTCCATATAAAAAGGAAAAACTTTCTTCTGTAAACACTTTTTGTAGGACTGCTGAGCTACAGCATTCATCTGTTATTGACATTCCTCCCACAGTTCAGACTTGTCTTAGATGTTAACTAGAGAAAGAGTAGACATTTCAATATGATGCCAAATAGACTCAGTAGCACATTTGGAAAATACTATGGTGAGGTAGCTGCATTCAGTCCACTTAAAGATTTGTAAGCTGCAAATGCCACATTAAAATAGGAAGAACTGAAAATTGCATTTAATCTGACATTGTCAGTGACAGCAGTTATTAAGATAAAATTGCTAAATTTGATATTTAGTGTATTATTTTAGTAAAGGATCTTGCAGAATCAGGCAGCACTCTTCTGAAAAAGTGGCAAAACCACAGCAATGTTTTACTTGGTAAGTTTGGGCTTATTACTTTTACCTGTTTTTAGGAATGCTAACAGAAGATCGATAAAAGGACCAGTGGCCCCACTGCACTGTTTGAAGAAAAATTTGCCTGAGGCATTGGTCTGGCCTGAGAGACATTCCTGTTCAGATAATGTGGACACCAGTATCAGTAGTATGCCTCCACTTTGGCTGGGTATGACTACAAATGCAGAATTGCCTTTGCCATAGAGAGCTCAGATGATTGAACCTATCATTCTTTCTCATCTCCTACTGATCAGGCACTGCTCACCAAGTTTTTAAAAGAGAAAGGAAAAATACCCACTATGAGTGTCTATTTCCACAGAGGGAGGTAAGGTGTTTAATGTTGCCTAAGTGCTAATTTATAAATGGTTAAAACTGGGTTGGATTTTTTGCATAAAAGTAGATGTAACCTATGCAAAGACAGGAACACCTATCTTTTTCTGCCACTAATATGTTTGCATATCCATAAAGCCCTCCCTGATTTAACAATGTCTTGTGAAAAAGATAAAGCCCTAGGACACAATGCCTTATGTAAGACAGTGTCTTAAAGAAAGCATGTATGGGATCCAACCAAGTGCCACGGTCATCTGTATCTAAGACATTTAAGTTACTGAAGTAGTCAGTGGAGATCTAACTACTGATATAAGGTTCATCTACACATATGTAGGCATCTCCTTTAAGAAGATATAAGTCTCACCCTCATTTTCATTTACTGGCTTCATTTCCTTTGACCACCTAAAAAACTGGTTTGGATGTGGCTATTTGTACTGCAAAGATCCACATCTGAACATGACAGATACCTCCTTTAATGTGTTAAAGCATTTACTTTTGCTGCTAACAATAAGAAGGAAAATTTGCTATACCATTAAAAAAAAACAACACCTTTATTACTGATAATCAATCAACTGTTTGTAGATTCTAAAGTAATTTAATAATTTGTTGATGATGATAGGGAAAAGCTTTTGGGATGATAATTTCATTTTGAGATTGAAATGAGGCACAAAAGTAGCCACTGAAAATAATTTGTACCTTTATTCGAAGGTAAAGAATCAATCCCTCAAAGTGTTAATTATCAGCCTTGAGGCTCAGCACTTCCTACTGTCTTTTCACTGAGGACTGTACGTGCTGAATCTTTCCCAGAAGAGATTTAATCTAATTGTTTCAAGGACCTTGTAGTCAGACTAAAAGTGTCAAGCTGCCTACAAACCAGTTATAGAGCTTGAATGCTGAACTACTAAATCAAATTTGCTTCAATAATTTGGAAAATTTTAATAGCAGTAACATTCTTCTGCCCAGGAAATTTGTCCTCCCAATTTACAAGTTTGTTAAATATTTAATCAGGAATTAACAACATATAATACTATACTATATACTCCCTTTGAGATCAGAAACCAGAAAGTTTACTAGGGTCTGCAGTTCTGTTTGATGGGATTTGTACCACATATTTATAAAGACAGTATATTCACAGAGGTACAAAAAAGTTACCCCTGGCACACAGATATGCGTACCATCCATCTTACAATGTTTTCATTCTGCTCTTTTCAGAATTGTATAATTTGATGCATGTTTAACATGAGCTACTAGTAAACCAGACATTAAGAAAGTGATCAAGATGTAGGCTGTATAAATTTTGTGTATTTATTTCCTCATTATACTGGATGAACTGTGGTCAGCCTGTATGCAAGGATGTTACGATGGAGTAAGAGCAGAGTTACTTATAGACCACTTATGGGTTTGTCTCAGCTGTTTCCCAGTTGTTAGGGGATCAATTAAGCTGTCTGCCTTTGAGTACAAGGGCAGGTGGCAAAATCAGCAGAGGTTTCTTCTTCTCACCTACAAAAGCAAACTTCATCTTGGCATTTTCTTACTTGTGAATATTTGACTTTGCAGATTTATTTGCCTATTAATCTAGCAAGAGAAGGAGTAGAGAGAGAAGGGAGGGAATGTTAATGGAAAATCTTGTGGCATTTTTAAAAAGAAAACTGACCTTCTCAAGGAAATCCATTATGTAGCATCATTGTGACCCAGACAGCTCATCACTAGAGTTTCTAGTTCTTCGCATCCTTTTGAATTAGTAGCACTTTTGTCAACTTCTGCATAAATCAAGAGGAAAAAGCAGAGATACATTTTCCATCAGTATCTAAAGCTAACAATAGAGGAGCCCTAGGAATCCTGAATCCATTTCACACTCCATTTGCTGCAGATCCTTCTAACCACATTCACATTTTATTCCTCTTTCCATTTTTGCCCAGACAGGGTGGAAATCATTGCTGTTTCTACATTATTCTTTTATTCTGGTCACTTTCAGGTGACCACAGTTGTTCTCATCTCAATCTTCAACACTATCTGTATTAATCACCTTGCTAAGTCATTTCAACTAAAAGCTAAAAGAGACAATGCCACAAGGGTCCTTACCAGCCAGAGGACAATTTTCAGAGTAAGCCTGGCTCACTTTTTGGTCTTTAAGAAGATAAGTTCCGTTGCCCCTTGCTACCCTGTCACAAACAGAACAATGGGGTTTCAGTGCTTCTTCAGGCAATCTTCAGAAAAATTATATATCATCTTCCCTTGGAGGCCTGAGGGCATTTTCCAGTCCAGCCTCGACTAGGACCTCCATCGCTGCACCCCCTGCCCACTGCCCTAGGAGCTCCTCCAAGGCTTAGGCCTGGACCTCCATCTTGCCTGAGCCATATTGTGACCGTAGAGGCCTATTCCTGGTCCTGCCTTATCTTGCACCTATATTGCAGATAGGTTGTCTCCTGGATGGAGACTTTGTGCATATGTTGTAGTTTGTCTCCAGCCCTGTCTCTGGCCCCACTCTGGCTTCTGGCTGGTCTTCCTCAATAGAATTTGGCCCTGGTTCATCACATGCTGTGTAGGGAGCTGTTGAAGGGCCTCCAGCTCTGTCTGCTGCACTCAGTCCCACAGGTCTATACCATGAGAGCAACACAAGCCCTATGTCAAATATGCAGATAAAGCGTTTTAGTGTCAAAACCTATGCGGGCCTCCTTAAAGATAAAGGTATGGTTCACAGAATCACAGAATCACAGAATTGTAGGGGTTGGAAGGGACCTCCAGAGATCGAGTCCAACCCCCCTGCCAAAGCAGGTTCCCTACACCAGGTCACACAGGTAGGCGTCCAGGCGGGTCTTGAATATCTCCAGAGAAGGAGACTCCACAACCTCCCTGGGCAGCCTGTTCCAGTGCTCCGTCACGCTCACTGTAAAGAAGTTCTCGCGCACATTTGTTCGGAACTTCCTATGCTGCAGTTTTTGGCCATTCCATCTTGTCCTTTTGAGTCCCCTGAATAATGACAGGATCCATCCTTCGGACCATGAATAGGATGGAATTACTTAATGACAGCTTCCCATCTCCCCTTAAAACCTGTCTGCAAGAGACTTCCTTCCCTCCCTCCAAAATATGCAGCTTGGAGCAAATAACACAATTGAAAATATTTGTATTTTCTTCTAATGGGAGGGACTTTAAATCAGGTGCTAATACTACAGTGGACTGGAACAAAACGGATAGTTTTATTTTATTGACATTAAGCTCAATTTATAGTTATCATTAAAATACACATTTTTTTTTAGCTATACATAGAATGTCACAAAGCACATTTCCTATATGACATCATAATTTGCTTTATATGCTCATAAATTCGAGAAAGACACTATTTCTCAGTGAACAATATCCACAGTTACCCTGTTAGTGAAGTTATAGAGTAAATGGCTTTCCAAATGTTAGCCATCTCTTTTATTTCCATTAAAACAAAACGGGTTGGAAGCCAAGAAAGTCTTTATTGCCCACATGAAACATTATCTAACATAAGTAGTAACTTATGGCTTCCTCTATCACATATCATTTTTTAAAAATATAATTCCCAGAATGTGTTATTTTATTAAGAAAAAATGAATGAGTCACCATTCACTCAAGTCAAAAAGAGTGACATTCCTGATGCTTGATGTGTGTATAGCACATCTGATTTCTTTTAAGAAATTTGGACGAGTTTCTTACTTGAGCCATATCAGAATTAATCTGGAAGAGTACTGAAGTCAGGACTTGTTCTAGATTTATAACTTCATAAGTGAGATGCCACATTTAGGGCAAGTAATTCCTCAAGGAGCTAACTACAGTTATTTCTTTCATCTCATTTTGCCAAGAATATTACATACTATTATGACATTGATTGATTATCATAATGTTGGATCCAATTAATGAAACATTTTAATCATATAATTAGAAATGAGCTCAGGTGCAGTAGTTTCTGTTTTCTCTAGTAGAATATGCCATATATTTTGTAACAAATGAGGAGTGGAAGCATCATGCTAGAGTAAAAGGTTTAACAACATACCCAAAGTGTGGTTGCTGGTAGACCCAAGAAAAAAAGGATTAATCTGAGGTAGAATCCAACACAACAGAAACACAGGTCCTCGACTTGCCAACATGGTATGCATTAATCCTTCTTAATTTGAGGAATTTAACACAGGCACCTAAATTAAGGGGATAAACTTAATTTGTGTCTCTCCATACAAAAATAACAAAAGAAGGTATTTCCAAAGTCGAAGTCAATGCAGTTAAGATCTAAACTGTTTTGTGTAACACAGTTATTCCACTCCAGCCCAAAAGACTCTGGCTTCCTGAACAGACACAGAGAAAAAACAGCAATGGTGATGACAGGCACCTGTCTTAGTTTACTTGTAGAAATTTATCTGAAAATAACCTGAATTCATTTTTGTCAAACTTAAACAATCTGAAATCTTAGATTTTCAGTCTAGGCTAGATTCACAGGCTCCTCTACAGCTAACAAAGAAGAAAGGACACTTCTGAAAGCAATTAATCCCTAAGATGATTCTTTTAAACAGGCAGTATGAACTGCCCTACAGAAGTATCAATTCCCTCTCATTAAGCAGAAAGAGTTGAGGATCATATAATCATAGAAAGAATTAGATTAGAAAGGACCTTAAAACTCATCTGGTCCTCTGTGGACAAGTTTGCCACCCACCAGATGAGGCTGCTCAGTATTCCATCCAACCTGGCCTTGACCAACTCTAGAGATGGAGCACCCACAGCTTCTCTACAGAGCCTATGCCAGTGCCTCACTTCCCTCTGAGTAAATAATTTCTTCCTAACATCTAACCTAAATCTCCCCTATTTAAGTTTAAGACCATTCTCCTTTGTTCTGCCACTCTCAGACCATGTGAAAAGCCAGTCCTCCTCCTGATTGTAAGATCCCTTCAAGTACCAGAAGGCCACAATGATGTCTCCCTGGAGCCTTCTTTTCTCAAAGCCGAAAAAGTTCAACTTTTTTTCATAGGAGAGGTGCTCCAGCTCTTTGATCATCTTTGTGGACTCCTCAGCACCCTCTCCAAAAGCTCCATGTACCTCCTGTACTGGGAGCCCCAGATCTGGTACTCTAGATGGGGCCTCACAAGGTCAGAGTAGAGGGGGACAATCACCTCCCTCTCCCTGCTGGCCAACTCTCTTTCAATGCAGCCCTATTGCAAAGTTTCAGTGGAATAAATCTGGACCAGATCATGCTGGTCAGGGTCCTCCTGGACCTGCTAGCTGAGAATATGATGAGTTGGCTCTCTGTGTTCCTCTGTGGTTCTGATTTGCACTGAGCCTTCTCAATTTGAGGGACTTAATCTAGGCACTTAAATCAAGAGAATAGACTTAATTTGTATATCTCCATGAGCAATTAAGAGAGACAGGCATTTCCAAAGACCAGATCAATGCACAGACAAAATCTCCTAGACATTAAGCAAAATATGGGTAAATTGGACTGCTTCAGAGTTAACATTTCTGAATTTAAAAAAATAATTATCTTATTACAAGTCATTTGATAGAGAAACACTCCAACATGAAAGACTTGGTAAACTACAAATGATAAATATATTTGTCCAAAAAACAAGCTTTTTAAGTGCTAAGCCATATTTCCTGAAAATATTCAATACAGTATTTTAAATGTGATAAAAAGGCCTGCCTTGGCTGTATGACCAGAATCAGTTGGCCTTTTGAAGGCTCTGCTCCCTCCCAGGTTAAATTAAAAACTCTGAAAGCTGTCTCACTGCTGTCCTTGTCAGTGAATGTTTGAATGTGTGCGTATGAAAACTTCAACATATTTAGGGCTGGCTGCAAGCCAGCGTGTGTGTGTACATGAGAAAGAACAGAACTGTAAAGGCACCACAAGGTTATCAGCCCTTCTACTTGCTCTTGAGCCTATAAATAGACTGTAACTTTTTGTTACTGTATAATCCCAGCTACTACACAATATTTGAAGGAGAAATCCAGGAGTAATAGCGTGGGCAGGAACAGCCAAACCATTTTGTCAAATTAGTTCGAAGCACTAGAACACAATCTCTAGAATTATTCATTCTGTCGTATAACACATTAAAAGAAGTCTGCTGTCTTTGTTTGGCTTGTGAATACAAAAGAAAATGCAAGCCCTCAGTCTTAGTGATCAGCTACAATAGCTGAAGTCACCCTTGGATCAAAAACTAATAACAACAACAAATACAAACTCAGGAACTTTTCATTGTAACTGCTATTTTTGAGCCCTCTGCTGGCAAGAGTCTTTCTAAAACAGATATTTTCAACTGAACATGAGGAAGTGTGGAAGAAACAAAGAGTATAAACAATCACTTAAGATTCATTAAAAAATCTCACACTGTCTGTGCCGGAAATCCTTTTCCAGGAAAAGATCTCCTCCTATTCTAGATAATTTTCTATTAATTTCCTTAGCCACTTGCTCATTTTTTTCCACTCCCAATCCCAACCATTTTAAAGATACGATCAACTGTTAGCATCTGAGGTGCCTAGCCCTGACTTCCATCCTAGCCATCCAACTGCTTTGACAAAGATCCTTCAGATCTTTGTTTAGCAGTCCTTGTTTTGCAGCCTTCAGAGCTGCCATACTTCTCCACAGAGCACACATCTGTGGATTTATCAAAGGACCGTGACCCAGACAAATCTGAATGAGTTATTTCAACTCTTTCCATCTGTTCCCAAATAAAGACTCAGACATCCTTACTCATTTATGCCACTACCAAATCCTATATCCTACCGAAATTGTCTTGACTACTTCTTTATTTTTCTCATTCTCATCAGGCGCAAGCAGACTTATCT